AGTTTCAATGCCATCATTATGCGAGAATGAGTAGGGCCTAGATAGTAGAACCAGTGCGAGCCTCTGCGAAGCAGAGGTGACGCACTGGTATAGTATAAGGGAAGAACTTATAAAATTTGTCAGTTTTGACCAAAAGGATGGCAGTGCCATGGGGTCCCATGCCTTTTCGTTATCCCGAAGACATTGGCCCGTAAACCCCCATCAGTGCAACTCGACTGGTGCGGGCCTACGTTGAACGTGGAACGCCTCAGTCCAGCATCCAGTGAGCTATTGATCCGGATACGGATTGATAATCATGTGTGTTTTTGAAAAAGGAACTGCTTGGACCACTTTGGTCAAACAGGTAAACGACTGGAATTGAAAGCGCGCGGTCATGGTTCAACACCGGCTAGCACCACACTTTTACTACATCGCCTGGCGTCTTTGATAGCAACCACTATCGCAAAATCGATGATGACCGCTACCAAGGATTTCGCCTAGCACATGCATGGATAAAACAAAAACACATTTTCGACGAAATTTTCATGAAAAAAATAAAATGGTTGCAACATGAACTCAATGAATTATATCAATAAATTTTTGTTTTGAGCAGCCTTTCAAAACAGTTAGCAAACTTTACAAATCATCTAATATACAAAGAATCGAAACCAGAACCCCCCATTTTCCGGGAAAATCGTCGCGGAAGCCTGGATACCGTACCCCCACCCAACATCACTTCTTCATTTGAAAATTGATGAAGAAAGGCCGTTGACGTACGTAATCTCAAGGCTACAGTGCAGCCTCCAGGGTCTAGTGGCTAATGGGTGCGTCTTTCAGCTGCCAGACCCAGGCTCAATCCTCGGGCTTGAGGGGTCCTTTTTGCCGCTGAAATTCTCGAAGAATCAGCTGACTTCTTTCTCCACTTATCATCCTTTATATTAAAAGAATGGCAACCGAAAAGTGAATCTTTTGGGGCGCCGGCGTGTTTTTCGCTGCATGACCGGAATATCGTAATTAAAACCAAAATTTGGCCTAAATTTTTCGGTTGGTCGGTCGTTTGTCTTCTAATGCCCTTTTTCTTTTCAAGGATCCGAGTTTGCTCGATCTTTCAAAGTTTACATCTCTTTCTCAAGAATGCAGTAAGCCGCTACTCGAAAGCTCCAGCCTCAGGAACAAGACTTTCTGAAATGATTCGACTACAGCGAGCTATCTTATATATAAAGCTGAATGTCTGTTTGTATGTATGTATGTATGTCTGTATGTATGTCTGTATGTATGTCTGTACGTATGTTCCGAATAGAAAATTCCATTTCTGAACCGATCCGGACCAAACTTGGCACACATACACTACGGGCCCCGGCGGGTGTCATAGGCTACTTTTCGTCATCGATCGATATTGATTTTATCGATTTTTATCGATTTTTTTGCTGAGTCCACCTACGGGGCTGGGAGTTGGCACAGGGGGGTAATCGAGCATGGGGATTCCGAATACAATCTTGGTTTTCAGGATTATCGATTACTTTTATCGATTTTATCGATTTTTTTGCAAAGTTTGAGCTACGGGGCTGGGAGTTGGCACAGGAGGGTAATCGAGCATGGGGATTCCGAATACAATATTGGTTTTCAGGATTATCGATTACTTTTATCGATTTTATCGATTTTTTGCAAAGTTTGAGCTACGGGGCTGGGAGTTCGCACAGGGGGGTAATCGGGCATGGGGATTCCGAATACAATATTGGTTTTCGGGATTATCGATTACTTTTATCGATTTTATCGATTTTTTTGCAAAGTTTGAGCTAGGGGGCTGAGAGTTGGCACAGGGGGGTATTCGAGCATGCTGATCACTCCCAAGGGGGGTGATCAGCATGCTTGATTACACCCATGTGCCAAATTCCAGTCCCCTAGCTCAAATTTTCAAAAAATCGATAAAATCGATAAAAGTAATGGACGATCCTGAAAACTAATATTGTGTTCGTAATCAGCATGCTTGATTACCCACCTGTGCAAACTCCCAGCCCCGCAGGTCAAACTTTACAAAAAAAAAATCGATAAAATCGACAAAAGTAATGGACGATCCTGAAAACTAATATTGTGTTCGTAATCAGCATGCTCGATTACCCCCTGTGCAAAATCCCAGCCTCGCATGTCAAAATTTACAAAAAATCGATAAAATCGATAAAAGCAATCGATAATTCTGAAAACTAATATTGTATTCGGAATCCCCATGCTCACTTCCCCCCCGTGCCAACTCCTAGCCCTGTAGGTGAACTCTGCCAAAAAATCGATAAAAATCGGTAAAATCGACATTGATCGATAACGAAAAGTGGACTGTGACACCCGCCGGGGCCCGAAGTGTATGTGTGCCAAGTTTGGTCCGGATACGGCGGAGCCGGGTAAGCCAGCTAGTTCTTTATAAACTTGTCATAAATTTGGTTTAGCAGGGAAAACTCATACTCTTTCCTTAAATGGTCGACTGAATACGTCGTTTTACGTTGTTTGTCTTTCAAGGGTCTTTTTCTCTTCAAGGAAAGTCACTCATGCTCTGGGTGCTTCATGATGGTTCTGGCTTTCTGCAATGCGTGATCATTGGCGTCTTGGTTAGTTTTAAGAAGTTTTCTTTTATTATAGAGTAATTCTTCCTCTCTGGAATTCCTAGTTTATAGAATTTGTCAAATTTTTATCTAATTGCTCTATGAGTACTCATACATCTTATATATAAAGCTGAATGTCTGTTTGTCTGTCTGTCTGTCTGTCTGTATGTATGTATGTCTGTCTATACGTATGTTCCGAATAGAAAATTCCATTTCTGAACCGATCCGGACCAAACTTGGCACACATACACTACGGGCCCCGGCGGGTGTCATAGGCTACTTTTCGTCATCGATCGATATCGATTTTATCGATTTTTTTTCGATTTTTTTGCTGAGTTCACCTACGGGGCTGGGAGTTGGCACAGGGGGGTAATCGAGCATGGGGATTCCGAATACAATATTGGTTTTCAGGATTATCGATTACTTTTATCAATTTTATCGATTTTTTTGCAAAGTTTGAGCTACGGAGCTGGGAGTTGGCACAGGGGGTAATCGAGCATGGGGATTCCGAATACAATATTGGTTTTCAGGATTATCGATTACTTTTATTGATTTTATCGATTTTTTTGCAAAGTTTGAGCTACGGGGCTGGGAGTTCGCACAGGGGGGTAATCGAGCATGGGGATTCCGAATACAATATTGGTTTTCAGGATTATCGATTACTATTATCGATTTTATCGATTTTTTTGCAAAGTTTGAGCTAGGGGGCTGGGAGTTGGCACAGGGGGGTAATCGAGCATGCTGATCACCCCCAAGGGGGGTGATCAGCATGCTCGATTATACTCCTGTGCCAAATTCCAGCCCCCTAGCTCAAATTTTCAAAAAATCGATAAAATCGAAAAAGTAATGGACGATCCTGAAAACTAATATTGTGTTCGTAATCTGCATGCTCGATTACCCTCCTGTGCAAACTCCCAGCCCCGCAGGTCAAACTTTACAAAAAAAAATCGATAAAATTGATAAAAGTAATGGACGATCCTGAAAACTAATATTGTGTTCGTAATCAGCATGCTCGATTACCCCCCTGTGCAAACTCCCAGCCCCGCAGGTCAAACTTTACAAAAAAAATCGATAAAATCGATAAAAATAATGGACGATCCTGAAAACTAATGTTGTATTCGGAATCCCCATGCTCACTTCCCCCCCTGTGCCAACTCCTAGCCCTGTAGGTGAACTCCGCAAAAAAATCGATAAAAATCGGTAAAATCGACATCGATCGATAACGAAAAGTGGACTGTGACACCCGCCGGGGCCCGAAGTGTATGTGTGCCAAGTTTGGTCCGGATACGGCGGAGCCGGGTAAGCCAGCTAGTTAGCTATAAATTATAAGCTATATAGTTACTCCGTGTATTTGTATTTATATCAAAGCTTGCTGTTCATCTGAACTAATCTCTAATCTCTGTTTATCTGAACTAATCTGAAAGAATCTATGTCTCTGAAATTATTATGCACCCATTCTACATCGTTTTTTCTCCTTTTCTTCTGCTTCTAGTTTGTTCATCGGTTGGTCGGTCGTTAGTTCGTACTCATCATTATTGTTCATCCCATTTCATTCCTTATTGGTAACTTTTCTTTCTTCAGATACATATATTTGTTTTGTTCATCGGTTGGTCGGTCGTTCGCTTGTGTTCTTCATTGTTGTTAACCCGTTTCATTCCTTATTGGTAACTGTTTTTTTTTCAGGTATATATATATATATACACAGACAAATCACCGGAACTTCCGCAGAGCGCTTGCGGAAGTTTCGCCGGTTCACCTGCGGAAGCTCCGTAAACGTGCTGCGGAAGTTCCGAAGAATGCCAACCACAACAGCAAAAGAGAACACCGAAGCGAGATTTGAACCTTACTCTATTGACTGCGAGACCCACCTACTATCCTCTACGCTACGGCTGACATGTTCTATAATGCACTATGTTGATGAGGCAACATCACGAGACAACACATTTAAAGTCCTGCGGAAGCTCTGGCAGGCCAAAGTGCTGCGAAACCTCTGGCATTTTTCGAAATTTCCGCAGGATTTTGAAGAAGGCTCTGCGGAACTTCCGATTTTCAACCAGTTTGGCATGAAAATCCTGCAGAGGTTCCGATTTTCAACGTTCTCATTTTTGTAATAGTGAACAAAATCCTGCGGAACTTCTGCAAATTTGGTTTGTCCTGCGGAAGTTCCGGTGATTTGTCTGAGTATAAACGATTGGTTGTTTTCACCTGACAGAGAAGTAATGGTAAGCGTGAGATTTCTTAGTCTGTAGCATAAAATATTTGAATCTCACTGCAGTCAAACAGGAATTGGTCACTGATTCATGAGAGAATCTCATTGTAAGAAACTGCTGAGGATGAGGTGAGCATAAGATTACCTCCTTACTTCTCTGCACTCGTGACTTTTAGAGTGAGTCAAGTGTGTCTCGTCCCGTTGTGAAAGTGAAGACGGAAATGTCAAAATTAGCAGCAGAACGAGTTCGCTCGGTAATGAGCAAGCAAAGAAGTCTAGAAAATCTTGATCTGGACGATACAAAACCTGTCGAGGTACGGATTTGTACACCTTGTTTATTTTTGTTTGTACTCTCTCGTATTATTTGCATTCCTCAGCCAAAAAATTATAGGTTGATGCGGATGGACCATACCGTATGTGGTACCCAAAAGAGATGCCGAAGCGAAAATCCTCGTCGAAGGCATTGTTCCATTGTAAACCTACAAGCCGCGAAAGATGTGAAATGGGATAACCTTTTACCGCACCAAGGTGCCGTAGAGGAGGTCAATTTGGAAGTAATGAATGGTTGAAACTCCTTGTACCTAAAGAATTTTGCGAAGTGAAGAGCATTTCTTGCAGATCCGTGAGCAACGTTTGCGAACTCATCTCGCGATAGGTCCAAAGTCGAGGCATCGGCTAGTTGATCATATAAGTAAGAACTGTAGGCAGAATGTGAATAAGTCTTATACGGTTCGTGTCCTCCTTCCCCTATGGTAAGCGTAGATTATCAACTGATTGCTGCTTTTTGACAGCTACACTCTGATTCGTATTCTGCCCTTGTTAGTGCCCTTTTGATGTGCAAATTTCGGCAGGTCATTGTTTTGTCTACTTGCTTGCAAAATTGTTCTAGCGCGCAATATCCAATTGTCTTTTAGGGTATCACCTTAGAAGTTTTATCCGCTGATACTCAATGGTCATGCGATCAAACATTCGTGATGGTTCAAATGTTAAAGGCTGGCACAGTGGAGAAACACATGGCTGAAATGCAGTTTAGGTATGCGCCCTTTTACAAGTACTGCAGTCAAGAAATTGTGATAAAAGACATATTCTATCTTCTTACTGTGGGCTTCTCTTTTTTTTCTACAATTTCCAGGTAACATCATTCGAATGAACTAAGCCACTCTATTTAAGTTTTACAGTACGCCTTGCAATACATGCGGAAATCTGTTGAGCGCCAAGAAGATTGTGATTCTGGGACTGACGACATCCATGTGATCAACACACATCGGCTGCTTGTGAACATGGTCTTTCAGAAGAACTCGCTATTTCCACTTTTCGTTCTAAAGTCAGCTATGGGTTCGTTGTTCTTCTTCCTTTATAATCTCGCTCAAATATACTACACAGTCGATAGTTGATTATCAATCAGTGATATTTGTAGGATGCAATCTGCACTGTAAAACTTGTACGCATGACTGCTTCAAGTGTTGTGCTAGGTGCACAGAAGGCGCCTCGTGTCGATTTTGCAGATGTTGTGAATGATATGGCCCTTATTTGCGAATGGATGCAGTTTGAAGTCATACTTTGCAAAGTAAGTGTTTTAGCATATTTCGCAGCTAGGCCATTTCTTCAATCATTAGAAGTTGTGAGATCAGAAGTAGTGCAGTTTTCGTTAGTACTGATGTATACAGTTAAACATATATATTAAGAGCTCTCTTGTGTTTTAGCCCTGAGAAGATCTTCGTGCTGTCATAGTGGAAGTTCTTGGTCGAAATGGTGTAAGTCACTGTGATTCTGGTATTCTTCGACTAGTATGTGACGAGCAAGACTCACTGCTCATTTGAAGCTTGAGGTAGAGATATGTTTGATTTAAAGTTTAATTACGACAATCTCACACTTCTTTGGCAGTTCTGCAAACACTTAGGAAGAATCGAGTTTAGTTTTAAAAAACCGTTTTTTCTTTCCAGTCGTCGCCTCCTAGCTGCATATAGGCTTTGTAAAGATTTGTTTTGGTTTAGGGTTTTGTAAAGAGTTGTGCAATCCCTTCTTCCATTTCCACCGTAATAGTGGCGGAAAAGTAGGAAATATTTTTAATTTGTCTAGGTACCCAACCCAAAAAGGTGCGGCTTAGACCGCGGCTGACAAGACCACTAGGAGAGAACACAAAGGCTTTATCGAAAGGCAACAACAACAATAGAATTAACAAGAGAAAATTCAAAAGAGAAACGAACGAACAATGCAATGCGTAGCTCACGGCTAGCGTTCGCCTTGGATCAATGAGATCAGATCACAAGAAAGACACTACTAGCACGCAAAAGAGCCTTCTAGCGCGATGCTCAAAACTTGGCAAAAGCTCAATAGAAGGAAACTACCATTCGCGCGAGTTACCTAGGCGGGCAATAGAAGCATCTTAGTAGGGAAAAGGAGGAAACCAAAACAAATAGTAAACAACACAAAAACAAGGAACAACAGCAGATCGATGAGGCTGGGGGAGCGGATCTGGCCGCTCCGTATGGCTCGCGGTTGAGATTTTTAACGTATTATGCAAAAAACAACAATACTCAATACCTACGAATTCCTACGCTACACGCTTCCTCCTAACGTGAGTGGCGTCCCGACACTCAGTATGGATAGAAACGTCCGCGTCGTCCTGGTTGTCAACGCTGCGTCCTGGATACTTACTTAGATACTTAGATGGCCCGGCTTCACGTGACGTGTGGGCCCCAGCTCAGAAGTTTCCATTTTTCCCTGTCCCTCGCTTCTGACATCCACGATCCTCTTGGCTGACGTCGGTGGCTGCGTCCACGAGTTCCATGTGCAAAAATCGTATCCAGCTGATTTCTCAGCTGGTCCATCCGTTCCACGAACACGTCTGCCCATCTCGTTGGAGGTCTTCCTCGGGGACGTTTGGCTTCGCGAGGATTCCACTCCGATGTTCTTAGTGTCCATCTGTCGTCTGTTCTTCTCATTATGTGACCGGCCCATCGGTGTTTGGCTTTCGCGACGTATTCCGCTGGGTCACGAAGACGGGACATTCTTCTCATATCCGTGCTGCGAAGTCCGACTAGATGTTGCTTGCGTCGGGTCATCTTCAGAAGACTGCGCTCGAGCGCTCTGTGGGTGGTCCGTAAAGCTTTCGACGTGGCTACAGTGTCGGCCCAAGTCTCAGCTGCGTAACAGAGCGCCGGGAGAACGGTTGAGTCGAACAGGTGGGCACGAAGCTCCGGGTCCGTCAGTTGGTCGGTGGCTTCCTTCAGGGGCCCGAAGGCGGCCCAGGCTGCTCTTCTTCTCCTGTTAAGTTCTTCCCTCAAGTCGTTCTCCATGTTCATCGAACGTCCGAGATACACGTATGAAGACGTCTCCATAATCGGGGTGCCTTCCAATTCCATTTCTGCATCTTCGCAAAGGGCGTTCTTCATGAACTGAGTCTTCTTCCGATTTATTCGCAGTCCGATCTTCTTCCCTACTTCGTTTAGTTCCTTCAGCATCGTCTCTGCTTCGGTGATACTGCTCGAGAAGAGAACGATGTCGTCCGCAAAACGAAGGTTGGACAGGAATCTCCCATCAACTCGTATGCCTCTCTCGTCCCAGTCCAGTGACTTCATCACCCACTGCAAGGCCGCGGTGAACAGCTTCGGCGAGATTGTGTCGCCTTGTCGGACCCCCTTCCCGATTGGTATGGTCAGGGGGCGATGGAATAGCTGCATCGTCGTTGTACAGTCCTTGTAGCAGTCGGCTAACGTCCTCACGTAAGCTGGGTCCACTCCTTGATCGACTAGCGCAGACAGGATGGCGTTGGTTTCGACGCTGTCGAAGGCTTTCTCGTAGTCGACAAAGGTTAGGACGAGAGGCAGTCGGTACTCCCGGCAGACTTCTATGACCCTCGAAACGGTCTGGATGTGGTCCATGCAGCTGAATCCTTTGCGAAATCCAGCTTGTTCTTGGGGTTGGGCTTCATCCAGTGTCCTTGATATGCGAGCGAGGATAATCTTCGTGAAAAGCTTGTACAGCACACTCAGCAGGCATATTGGACGATAGTTCCGAAGATCCTCCCGTTCACCCTTCTTGAAGAGAAGGACGGTTCTTGACGTTCTCCACTGGTCGGGAATCTTCTCCTTCTGAAGGTAAAATGATCTGGTCCTGGAGCCGTGGACGTCTTCATGGTCTGTATCGCGATACGCACTTCAGCAGGTAGAATTCGTGGTGGTACTTCTCCAGTGGGAACAACGGGCATCTGCACGGGTGTTGATGAGCGGAAGAGGTTGGTGTAGAAGTTCTTCGCGATAGATTCCATCTTGTATCGGGAAGAAGTCGGAGTCCCGTCTTTGTTCAGTAGTGCAGCCAGCGGTACGTGATATTCGCAGAGGTCCCTTCGGCACTTCTTGAGACTTCGTCTTCTTTCTGCTGCTTCCAGTATCTTGGCTTGCCTGTACTTCCTAAGATCCTCTTGCAAAGCTGTTCTGCAACTGGTGTTGGCAATCAGTCGCTCGAGATGAGTTGCATTCGGATCCTGCCTCAATGATCTTCTTCTTTCGAGCAATTCCTTGGTGGTCTTCGAGATGCGGTCCAAGTTCTTCTCAGAAGTCACTGAGGCGCATTCTCCGCAGGCTCGCAATCCTTTCAGAAGCCGGTCGTAGTCGTACGTTGGGTCCTCCTCGATGGGCCAGTCACAACTTGATATGAGCTCTTCCAGCCTGTTACCGTCATAAACGACTTCCTTCCTTCTCGCGGCACTATGACAGACTTTCTTTTCCAGCCTTCGGCTGAGTCGTATCTTCGCTCGAAGGAGGCGGTGATCGGAGCCACTACAGAAGGATGGAACTACAGAGACATCGAGCAAGCTCCACCTTCGGTTGGTGAGAATGTGGTCGATCTCCGCGTGGGTCGTTCCGTTGGGCGATTCCCATGTCCACCGGCGATGTTCCTTCTTCATAAAGATGGAATTTCCATGAAAAAGTCGTGCGGCGGAGAGAAGCCCAACAAGACGGTTGCCGTTTTCGTTCCGGAGCCCATATCCAAACTTCCCGATCCTATATTCCCTTTCCAGTGGCATCCCGATTTTCGCGTTGAAGTCGCCCACAACAAACTTGTAAAAGGACTTCTCGTTGCGGACGACCTCCTCCACATCTTCGTAGAAAGCATCTAGTTCTGATTCGTCAGCTGCTGATGTTGGAGAATAGCAGTTGATGATGCTGATGGTCTTCTGATGTGGAGGTCGTAGTCGTAGGATGCCTAGTCGAGGTGATAGGATCTCGTGCGAATCGACAAGATGGACGATAGATGGGTGGACGACAAAGCCGACGCCTCCCACGTTTCGTGATGGAACCTTTTCACCACGAATGATGAGGGTCCCATCACTCATCTGTCGCACGTCCTTCTTCCTGGACTTCGTTTCCTGCAGAGCAATGATGTGGTAGTTGATGTGCCCTGCAGCGTCGAGAAGAGCGTGGAGGTCGGCGTTTGCGGAGACTGTCCTGGCGTTGTAAGTGCAGAGCATGAGGCAGTCTCCATGGCGTGTCGTCCGGGCAGACGTGTCGTTTTTGTCCAATCCAAAAGGCGCCCTGAGTACCCTGACATCGTTCTTGCTACCACCCGGCGCCGTAGGCGGGATCCGATGTACAGGGTTTTTTCTAAATCTTCTTGCTGTCTGAGTAATAAAATTTGTTCCCCTACAAGAGGTGGCTTACTAGGCCTACTCTTGATTTCCACGGGGTGATCGCTGACCCCGGGCTTGGAGCGGGGAGGGACCGCCTAGCGACCAGAAGAAGCCAGACGGCGGAGAATCTGGCGCGGCCAGTTCTTAGCTAGGCATCCGGCCGAAACCGGAAACGTCGAACTCCTTCACAGCTTGGGAGGCCCTACCAGAGTATACACTCGGCTGTGCATCGCAGTTCGACACCCAGTGTCACCCCCACGCCACGATGAGGCGACCGACCATTGTGGGGGCGTCCTGGATAGCTGTGCTAAAATTCGAGTGGGCGGTGTCCGTTTCTGTATCCTTCTTGTCCATGGTCGAAGTATCCTATTGAGCGTCCGAATGCTCGCTCCTACTGGGCAGGTCGTCCTCCTCGATTAGATCCTTGCCTGTATCGATAATCACTGAGGTCAGAGCCCGGCACGAGGTGGGCAAATGACAAGCTGGAAATCGTTTCTGGTGGAAAAAGCAAGGGGGAAATCGTTTTTGCGGGGTCCGTCGCGGAGCCCCGGAAGAAGATTTCATGTGGAAGCAAAAGAAGGTCGAATCATGCTTATTACCTTATACATCTAATTCGCTGGGG